GTGCAAACTTTGGCACTACCACGATTGCTTCCAGCCCGGCTCAGCCCAGTGCTGCGGGACTGGGAAACCAGTCCTGGGACTGGGAACGGGGCAGCAAAGGAGCTGGTGTGGCTCTGCCACGAGAATCATGCAAGGAGGTACAGCCCCTCCCTGTCCCCACCGGGCTGTCACCCCCCAGGCCCAGCCTGTGCTTCCCAGGCCACGGAAGGGATGGGGACGTGGGGAGGGACAGACTGAGCACCTGGCAGGGAAGGAGTCCTCTAAGGGAGAGCAGGGGCTGGGACACCAGAGGGAGGGATGCTCCTTGGGGACCACCGTCCCCATCACCCGTGCCTGTGTCTCTCCGTCCCCCGCAGCCCCTGCCCAGCCCCGTGGCCCCAGGGCCACCCTCCAGCAGGGGTTTGTCACCCAGCCCCGAATCCCCAGGGCACCCAGCTGGGCCCCCCACGGGCAGCAGGATCCAGCCCTGTGTGCTGGTAGGGGGGGGTCTGCTTATTGCCTATGGCCCCACGGGTTGCTCTCCCCGGGGGTGTTGCATATTAAGACATTATTGCATAAATATATATATATATCTCTCTCTCCTATATATATATTGCCCTGGGAGCATGCACGGGCAGGCAGAAGGCTCTGCTGTGCTTCTAGAGGTGCAGCCTGGGCTGCAGCGCTGCAGCCCTGCGAGCAGGGAAAGAGCCTGGGAAAAGGAGGGTGAGGGGGGGACAGACCCCCACTCCCTGGCCTCGGGGGGGGCCTGGCTGCTGCCCTGACCCAGAGCAACACAGGTAAAACCATACCGGGTCATGTCCCAGTGCCCCTGCTCAGCACTGGGACTGGAAGGGAGCCTTGCATAGCTGGTGGTGGCCCCGGCTTGGCTCCGGGTGGCCACATTGTCCAGAGGGCTGGGGCTACAAGCCAAACTCCAGGGGACAGGGCCAGCCTGGAGCATCCCCACCGTGGCTCTAGGAAGCACTCAAAGCCCCAAGATCTGGGGGGTCTGACCCCCTGGGAAGGGCAGGAGCGTCCCAAGAACATCCCAGGAGCGTGGTCTGGCCACCCGCCTGGGAAAAGGAGGGTGAGGGGGGGACAGACCCCCACTCCCTGGCCTCGGGGGGGGCCTGGCTGCTGCCCTGACCCAGAGCAACACAGGTAAAACCATACCGGGTCATGTCCCAGTGCCCCTGCTCAGCACTGGGACTGGAAGGGAGCCTTGCATAGCTGGTGGTGGCCCCGGCTTGGCTCCGGGTGGCCACATTGTCCAGAGGGCTGGGGCTACAAGCCAAACTCCAGGGGACAGGGCCAGCCTGGAGCATCCCCACCGTGGCTAGGAAGCACTCGAAGCCCCAAGATCTGGGGGGTCTGACCCCCTGGGAAGGGCAGGAGCGTCCCAAGAACATCCCAGGAGCGTGGTCTGGCCACGCTGCAGTGCCACGGGCTCCCAGCCCATGCCCAGAGCGGGCACCCGCTGCAGCCGTGCCCCCACAAAGGAAGACTTGGTTCAAGTAACACGTTGAGGGACGTGGACAGGGGGGACCAGGCGATGCCAGGCTGCTCCCGTGTCCCAGCACCCCGTCCCACTGGCTGCACACGGGCAGGATCCGTCCTGCTGCCTCCCCGCTCAGTCCATGTTGGTGCTGGCCGACCTGGAGATGTTGAGGGTCTGGGCAGAGACCGAGATGTCCTCGTGGTCCACGGGGCTGTGGTAGTCGGAGGTGATGTCTGGCTCACCGGGGGGCACCTGCACGGCGGCCAGGCTGAAGGAGTTCACGGAGCCCTTGCGGAGGCACTGGGAGTAGATGCCGAGCAGCAGGTCCAGCTTCTGCTCTATGGACTGCACCTACAAGGGTGGCCAGGGCTCATTGGTGTCCCCCCACCCCAAAAGAGGGGACCTGGGGATCCCGGTTCCCCACCCCACAGGCACCCAAGGGAAGGTGACGTGCTCCCTGGTGGCTGTCCACTCCTGACCTGCCTCTCCACTTTGACCTCGCGCCCCATCATGCTG